TCTCTGTTGCGCACACACACACACACACACACACACACACACACACACACACACACACACACATACATCCCTGCAGACACTAGACGCAAACATTCACTGTGTCTGTCCCTGGAGTTTATTCCAGTTCTCTAACCTTTTCATGACCTAACTATAATTAAACGCTGTTCTCTGACTCTCACTTGCTGCCTACATGGGAGGAGTGTAAATTTGCTAACATGTGCACGTTGGTGGACGTGCACATCTGTACATTTGTGCATCTTTCTGTTACTCCACATGTGCATGATAAATGTATTCAAATTGAAGGGAAGTCCTTTTGGGCCACTTTATTTTGTGAAGTGAAGACTTTTCAATAATACAGAGCCGAACCCAGATATCGTGAGCTTGTTTCTGCGACTGTTATGCTAATCTGTCACTTTAGTGCCAAACTCGCTTCCAGATCCCTTCATTAGCATTTCTGAGGAGAATCGGGGCAACACGGGGAATTACAGCGAAGCAACACAACAACCCGACGTCGACCCCAAACCCTCGTTTGTCACCGACTTTCATCTCTCGCAGACTTTCCTGCATGTCGGCAGGCATTCGGGGCCCTGTAGGTGGGAAGAAATGGGACAGAAAACAAGGGGAAAAAAATCTCCTGCCTTAATCTGTCAATCAATCTCAAGCTTGTTTGTTCAGCCCTTTTTTTTGTTGACACGTAAAAAGAGCGGCATRTTTGATGTGAAAACAAGACCTCTCTGGTAGTGTTGTTTGTATCATCAGCAGGGTTTTCGACAGCCTTCATGGGTCACAACGCTGGGTGCGTGATCAAACAGTTAAATCAGTTCAGGGTGCCTGCATTTGTTGGGTTTTATTGCACCTGTAGGTTAAAATATCAACAGAGAGCCGTCCCGCAAATTAGCTTCTCGTTTTTTGGCTTTACAGGTCTTTTTTTTTTCATCTGAGCGCACTTCATTGTTCGGCGGCCCGGCTGCGAGTTTATTGTTTCGTTTTTGCTTTCACGACACTCGTAGACGTGCGGCATTGTTTGGGCAGCCAACCAGATG